GGACATTGACGGGGAGTATTCATAGCCTACGAGCAGTCATTCGTCGGCGAGGTGTAAGTGTACGTCCTCGCAGGGACAACATTTTGAAAGTACCGACTGGGACGTCCGCGTAGGACGTTATTTCTAATAAATTGGATAAATACAGTTCATGTACCAATTGGAAAATCCGACGGATATCTCTAAGGAACATTCGAAGGATGTCCCCAAGGGACATTTTGATTGTTATACGATCCTGGAAATATTAAGGGCGTCTGAGCAGAGATATTTGAAGAAATGTACTATCAGGGACATTTCATGATTGTCTAGATGGGACATTATATAAGATCTGAAGTCATGCCAGAATATGTACTACTGGGAACATCCAATGGATGTTCCTAAAGGAATAACGTTCAAAATCATATCCCATCAGGGACATGCCAAGGACGTCCTTGTATGGACATTCTACAATATCTATAGATAGGGATGCTATTTCTATAGGACATTTGAAATGATGTACCAGCTAGGACATCCCGTGGACGTCCTTTCTCGGACATTGCATGAGATGTACGGGATGAGACGTCCCAAGGACACTTATTTTCGGTCTGGTACATTATTCGGACTTGAATTGTACCAAATAGGGACGTTCCTAGGACGTTGTGTGCTATTAGAGATTAGCATTACCAATAAGGGACGCTAAAAATGGCTTCACCTCTTTACCTTAACTCTTTCACAGAAAACGAACAGAACCGAAAGAAAGAAATGGCAGAATGGCTTCGTCTTATTATTCGTGTTCACCCACTCTAGCTCTTTTATCGGACGGGACAGTCGTAATTGGGTTCGGGCTGTCACATGCCGATGTTGCCAGAGTAACCACCCGTCTTCATTGGTCACACTCGAGCATGTGATTCATTATAGCCAATAAAACGGAATCATGAATCTGGCAACGTCAGCATACGAAGTTTCAAAATATGTGGTTAAGTTTTATATCATTATAATATATCATCGTTGACCCGTATTAGAGTACAATGGAAACGTTTCGAACATGATGAATTCTAAACAACTATAGTAAACATTGATATATAACATATATGCGGGCCCTCAATTCATATATTTTCAAAAATCCAGCTTTTCATATGATTATACGAACTAAATTCTCAGTAATTATTGATGCGATTTTCTCAAAATTGTGAAGGTGATTGTAAGTTATGTTTCTAACGCACAATATCACCATCGAAATTTCGAGAAAATCGTTTCATTTATAACTAAAAGATACTAGGGGTGAATTATTTGTAAATCAATTCTACCCTGTGAATACTCAATGTTTCTACTAATCTTGGGTATAACATAATTAACATAGATCGTGTATATTTGAATCTATGGGTATGATACATAATACAGTGACTGCATTTTGCAGTCTCTGTAGGGTATAATAGACGGTCGCTCTACCTGTCGGCAATACTTTGAACCATGGACGTATACGTCCATGCTTTGAACACTTCTCTGGAGCAAACAGTGGTTTTATTTGGAAGACCACTTTCACAGCTTTCAAGAACCCCCTAGAGGTAGCGTACGCATCGAGCACTGTCAAGTCAAGTCAAGTCTTCAGCCAGATATGTCTCTCGCCAGTCATGCAAATAGTAGCATGCTGCTTTGCTGCGGAAAAGTCAAGCTACTCATGATTTTTATCAGGCGAATCAGAAGATTCCTAACTCGTCCTTCTCAGCCTCCTTTATTATCGGAAAATTACTTGGGTGAAAACAGGTTATAGCAGCACATGTCAGTACTGTATAAAGTACTGTCAGTAGGCCCACTCACTTTGCTGAGTGCTGAAAGTGTTCCGAAACATAAAATCGAAAATACAGTGCTGTAATTCTTCCATCAGTAAGTAATCAGCAGCAATTGATCAGCTGGTGAAATGTTCTAGTTGTTAGACTGTCTTTCTCGTTCATCTAGCAAATTCCCAGGCAACCAGATGACGTTCCAGTGACGTATTTTTTACGTCACTTGAATGACCAAGGTGACGTCAGTAGTTGACGTCGAATTGACGTGATAATGACGTGAATAAGTCACAGCACAATGACGTCATATTACTCACGTCGTATTGACGTCATTCACACACCAAACTGTGACGTCCGAATGACGTCATAATGAAGTCAAAATGACGATTGAATTTGGCGATGACGTAAAAAAGATTCCTTCATCATGGTGTGATGAACACCACTAGCCTCTTATGACATCACATTATATTGATTATGCATTGTTGAGTCTGCTTGGTGGGTCGCCCTCCTGTGTCATGTACATTCAATCGCCTATTCAGCAGCGCCATCCTCCAGTACGCATCTCCATCAGAATGCAATCAGTTACTCGTATTCGTATCAAAAATTATGTATAGTTTGTGTCGGCGAGAAGAAAGCAAACAAAGCATAGTTCGATAGCAATGGAAAGGATGTTGGCGAATTTGGCTTCACCACTTCGTTGAATAATATATATTGATGCATTCTTTGTCGCCCAACAAAAATCTGAATTGCAAATTATTGGAAAATTTCCTAAATGACGAAGCTCACCAAATTGGTACGTCACACCGACGTGATTTTTAGACAACATAGATACGTATAGTATCTATGACGGATTCGATATAGGTATACCTTAACAATCATTTTAATATATACATAGCTTATTAATTGGTTTCCGAGATATACAGTGTCAAAGTTTTTTTAGAAAAAAGTTTTTCTACTACTTTTCGAGTATATTAATAATTAGAATAAAACTTGCATGTAGATTTGCTTTCATGAGTTATACTTCTGTTTCATATGATGATATATAAGTATCCCATATACGTATTAATAAACAATACGGATCATAACGGGTGCCAGGATGAAGCCAAAAATATGAAACAAATGAATATCCATAAGGATTTGGTGGCATGATACGCATGCGCCATGCGCTATTATAGTAGTCATCAAAGACATGCGTTTCGGTGGACAATGACGTTTACTAGCCTTTCAATAAAAGCAGTATGTGTCTGATCGTTTCAAAACTTTTCCTTATGGATAGTCATTTGTCTTCAAAAATCGGCTTCATGTTTCGCTATGGAAACAGATAGAGATTATCCGTATTGATTATTAATACGTATATGAAGTATCCATGGTTCATAAATCATGACCTTCTCTATATAGAGAAGGTCTGGGAAAAATGGACGTCGACAGAACGTCCCTGCAACGTCATGAAACTGACGTCTTCTTTTACCCATCTAAGTGACGTTCACTCGACGTCGAAACGATGACGTGATTATCACGTCATAGAAAGTACGTCATAGTGACGGCATTAATTGGTGTGTGACGTCTCTGACGATAAATCACCAATTAGGGACGTCACAGTGACGTGATCATTCGTCATCTGGTTGCTTGGGTTATTTTAATAACGGGTATTTACTATTGATGAGACAAGACTTTGGGCTATATTCTGAATTCAACTAACAGTACTGAATATACTGATTTTTCATTCCGAAATAAAAAAAAATCACAGTGACAGATACTTTTGAGTAGACTTACTATTCATCCAGGGCTGTTCCAGTCAGTAGTTCAGAACTAGATTTAGTACTATTCGAAGATGTTCAGTACCAAAGTACTTTTTGATCAAATATAGTACTGAATGGGGTTTGAGATCATTAAGCACTTTCTTATTGAGATATCTTCGTTATTGTTGCTGAACTTACTAAAGTTGATTTTGTTGCCATAGTTGTTTCTGTTCTTGGCATCATGTAAACAGAGCAAGTCATGGGAAAAAATCATTTTCTAAAATTTGTTGTTTGTTTAGTAGGTATACTGGAAACACAAACGAACAGGCCTTTTGACTGTGTGGGTAAAACCGGGGCTACTCCAGGCAGAGCAAGAAAAAAATACAGGAACGTGATACACGATCTACCTACTACCTTCCCCCAAATTTTGATAGTATTCAATGATTATTTTCTATTTTCATATATCAAGATAGTTCAACTCACAATTTTAACATGCTAGTCTCCAAATTCAGACTTTATCCAACATAGATTGGCTATATGTATATTTATATTCACCATTGTTAAAGTTCGCTAAAGTAATTATTCAACTCATATTGGTCTTCTGGTTGCTCGTATGTTGCTCGTTTGTGCTTGCTCTGCCTGCTGAACTTCATTCTTTTCTATGACTTCCTCTGTTTACATCATCCCATGCACATTGCGCAGAGACAACTATAGGAAAAAAATCAAGTTCAGCAAGTTCAGCAAAACAAAGGAATAGGCCTTGAAAGGCTGTATGACACCTGTTGAATTCGATGACAAATATGATAACAAAAATATTTTCTATGTGCCATACATTCATAAATATTATTTATAATATCGAAATATTTAGGGCCATATATATTTTTACAAGAATGTTTGCAAGTCTGCGCAAAATCAACACCTTTTTCACTGAAAGACACCTTAAAAATATTTTTGTCATCATTTTTGTTACCATATTTGTTATCAAATTTAACAGGTGTCATACAGCCTTAATGCAAGCACCCCGGAAGCGGCAAATTTGAAGAAAATTGAAATCCAGTACAAATTTCTGATTCTAGTACTTTTTCAAAGTGAGATCTAGTACTACATATTTTCGGCCAGGAACAGCCCTGCTGTCACTACTGTCAGTAGATCGTGGTCTTGAGTAGTGACAGTGACAGTCTTAGATCATACGTGACAGTAGTCAAGCAGAGCATGACAGCAGTGTCCACTGTCCAGCCTGTCATCATCATAACATAACCACAACAAGAAGACATGTCATTTTAATAAACCAGTCAAATCAAATTTCATTTTATACTTGAAAAGGTATTGAAATTATTGCACACTAAACTGAATTTCACATGAAATTATTTCTACATATTATCAACAGAGTTTGTAGCTATTTTGGGTGATATATTATAATCTGTGTTTCTAGCATTATGTAATAATTTTAGCTTGTCAAATAACCCCATTAGGCCCCCTTCTTTTACAGTAGTATTGCCAAAAAATGATGCGAATTACATTCGCCAAAGTCCTGCAAGGGGCCAAAATCAGTCCTAAGCATTTGCTCATTGCTTCAAGAAACCAAAGTGGAGAGGTGAAGAAACCTGAAAAAATTGAAGTATTTATAGACAATAAATCTGTTATGGTTGAGCCTGGAACAACAGTTTTACAAGCTGCTGCAATGGTTGGTGTTGAAATTCCGAGATTCTGCTATCATGAACGACTTGCAGTTGCTGGAAATTGCAGAATGTGCTTGGTTGAAGTTGAGAAATCTCCAAAACCTGTAGCAGCATGTGCTATGCCAGTTATGAAAGGTAGAGTATCTATAATGACAAAAATGTATAGCTGTATCAGCCTGTATCATTAATTTAAATATCTTTGTAGGATGGCATATCAAAACTGACTCTGAAATGACCAAAAAAGCAAGGGAGGGCATAATGGAATTCCTACTGGTCAATCATCCTCTTGACTGTCCAATCTGTGACCAGGGAGGTGAATGTGATTTGCAAGACCAAAGTATGGCTTTTGGATCAGACCGTTCAAGGTTTACTGACAATGATTTTTCTGGAAAACGAGCTGTAGAAGATAAAGATATTGGTCCCTTAATCAAGACAATCATGACTAGGTGTATTCATTGTACTAGATGTATAAGATTTGCTTCTGAAATTGCAGGAGTTGATGATTTAGGTGAGCACAACATTATGCAAAATATTCAAATAGATGCACATTCCCTGGTAGGTTATGCCAAACTCACCAACTCTTTGACCCCATCAGTACACCATAGAAAAGTTGGTGATCTTTCACTTTTCTATTGATACTTCCACCAGAAATGTTCCTAAGTAATCTCTCCTATATATCTATCACTAACAATACCAGTCAGACAAAATCGACAGGCCCAGTGTCAGCTCATCCCTTTGTTGTTAACCTGAAAAAATGCAGAACAACACTCTACCAAAACTTGTTTGTCCATACAATGGTAAAGATTTGGAATTCTTTGCCAATGGAAGTATTTTCAAGAACTTATAACCTCTAAAAGTTCAACAAAAATTTCAACATCTACCTCCTCTCCCTATCCTCCCAAGGTAAGCATGATGTTCTACTAACATTATAGGAAATTCCTTTTGTGCACTCCAAGAGATTAAAAAAACAAGCATTAACTAGTCCATACCTGTTTCAATATCATATTTCAAACAGAATTATTATCCTCAGTGGGAGATTGTTTGAAATGGGAAACAATAAATTTCAATATCCACCTCATGTAACCATAATCATGCTGATAATAAATTATAGTTATCACTTCAATTTATCAATTCAAATATCATAAGAAATAGAGTAGGATATCTGCACTTTACAATATTGTTTGGGTTAACAAGAATGAAATCTTAATGATTGAATCCCACTGAATCATTTTCAGTGTGCTAGTATCATTTAATTCCAATTAATAAATAGGAAAATGAATGGGACTGATGTCATCTATTCTGTAACAGATGGTATGACATTGGGAACTTACATCTGGCATCATGGTATAACCCACCTATAGAGTATTTGAAAGCTCTCAAAGTGGTCTGTTTACTTTGTCTTCATTGGTTCACATTCGTTTTTTTGTTTGTACTTATTGGTCATATCTACCACATCCATCAAAACAATCCTCATAAGTGTTCAAATGGGTGGGGGAAAAAGTTATTTTCTATATTGCCAATACCCTCAAATATTATCTGAGCTTCTTGTGTGCCAAGCCAAGATCTCTCAAAACTGACCACACATAACACATGTGTAGTAAAGCCCATTTCAAAGCCTTTATTTTTGGCTAGTTACATTTTACATTAATGATTATTTCTTGAAGATTAAGGTTCCTAAAAAGCAGCAGTACTGCAAGTTCCATAATGTCTGAGTGAGAAGTGTTCAAGATACAAGTATTCAAAAATCCCTATTCTGGGTGTACATAATAATAATTATATCTAGTTATTTTTGTATAGTGTATAGGGTGGCCAACTAAGATTCCATAGTTCGATTTCTCTGTTGTCTTGAGAGATACAAAAAAAAATCATGAATCAAAATTGAAATAATAACCGAGCTTCACATTTCAAAATTTCTTTGAAATACACAGGGTGTTCCGTAAGGTCACAGCACATCAAAGCTATGTTTTTTTCATCGGAACACCCTATATTTTATTTCATTTTTAAATTATCCCTGAAGATCTGATTTCAACGACCCATCATACTTAGGGTCTAGCAGTGAAAGTTACTGACATATAGAGTGTGCAAAGTCGAGATTTTCCAAGTTCAGAATTTTTTTCTGTCGAAACTGTTCATTATTCGTCAAAACGGTTTACATGTCCCTATCTCAACTTTTCACTCACTATCAATTGGTTTTCAACCGACATTTAATTGAAACAAATTATAAATTGAGATTTTTTGACCACCTTGTATCAATTTCAATTGAACACCAATTGATAGTGAGTGAAATGTTGAGATAGGGACATGTAAACCGTTTTGACGAATAATGAACAGTTTCGACAGAAAAAAATTCTGAACTTGGAAAATCTCGATTTTGCACACCCTATACGTCAGTAACTTTCACTGCTAGACCCTAAGTATGATGGGTCGTTGAAATCAGATCTTCAGGGAGAATTCAAAAATGAAATAAAATATAGGGTGTTCCAATGAAGAAAACATAGCTTTGATGTGCTGTGACCTTACGGAACACTCTGTGTATTTCAAAGTAATTTTGAAATGTGAAGCTCGATTATTACTTCGATTATGATACATGACTTTTTTTGGTAACTCTCAAGACAACAGAGAAATCGAACTCTGGAGTCTTAGTTGGCCACCCTGTACAACCTGATGATAATGAAAAAAAAATCAGTAAATTTGTTTGAATCCGGTTTTGCCTAGTACAAGTGGGATGTGTATGAAATAAATGAACCAATTAATGGATATTGTAGCATATCTACCTATTATTTGGTTCCATAAGTACTTTTACTTTTCTGAACAAATATTATACAATGCATTCCTGAAGTAACTGAATAATTTCATGTCTAGCCAAATTATCCATTTCAGAGGAATCTCCTTATTGAAAATGGGAAGTCTCCAAACTAAAAATAGTGAGCACCAGAATATGAAGATTTACTCTTTAATGCCTAATAAAAATGGTACTGGTTCATGAGATACAGGCTGTTCAAGGGGAAGATTCTATTTAGACATTTTCTAATTGTGAGATTTGACAGCATGAACATGAACTTTTGTAGTTTCAGGTTTTCTTATGTATTAAATTACATCATTGCTGAAAGCATCTCTCATTTTCAATTGTCTAGCTCTAATGGTTTTAGCGTTATTGGCTCTTGAAAAGATCAGATTTTTATGATTTCAAATTATCAAGTTAGCAATGTGACATTGAAAAAAAAGTCTGTAATCAATAATAACAAACATAATAACAAACACTAACAACACCAACAGCAAACCAAATTTCAAAGTAAATGTTCCACCAAAGCTAGGCTTAACCTTTATATTTTGGTTTACACAAACTGTAGGAAGTTCAGAGATTTTCCATTCTGCATGAAGCGCCCTGCATAGGTTGATTTTTATTTTTAATTCTCTACATTTATAAAAATGAATCAAATATTCAGGGTGATCCACGTTTGATTAATGACGACCATGTCTTATTTTTTTTAAATGGAACACCCTATACACCAGACTTGGGTCGAATACTCAAATCCGGTATTCGAATACGAATCCTGAATACTGTACTCTAAAATGTATTCGAATACTCAAGATTCGAATACGAAGAAAAAAAAGTATTCGAATACCTGGATTCATTCACATATGAATATTTCATGAATATTCCAACTGAAAAAAAAAACATTTAATTGCGCACATAAAGCTTGTTTATATTTATGTATGTATAGTCAATTCAAAAAAATATATAAAAAAATAGAAAATCTATATTGAATGAAACTTGATGAATAACTTTTTGATACAAAGTGCCACAATGAGGTTAAATAAGAAACATTCATTAATTTTCATTTCTTAGTTTTATTTGAAAAATTATTCAAAATAAAGCGATATTCAATTAATGAATGAAACTCAAAATAAAGTACTTTATTTCTGACAGTGACATTATAAGCTTATATCGTCATAGTTACGATATCTATTATTAGGGTCATAACTCCCTTGGGATGTTATAGATGCTATAATTCCCTCTAGCTAAAATTAAATAAGAAATGCATAGCAACAACCACGCAATAACGTAGCAATAAGGAATCTCCTATTCGCGGTAGTCAAGATCATCATCTGACATTTTGATGACATTGAAACTATACGGAAAAACATGTCTAACTTCCAATCGGGAAGGTATCTAATGAATGAAATCAGTCAGAAATAAAATTATCTATGTATCACGGGAATTATAGAGCCTCAATAACCTCTGGCAATTGCTGTCCCTCGGGCCAGAGGCCCTCGGGACGCAAACTTTGCCATCGGTAATTAAGGCCCTCATAATTCCCTTAATACATAAATAACTATTGGTACATTGGATAACAGTAAGGTAACACAAAATAATTGTTTAGGAAGATAATAATGGAAAATAATCTCAAATGATAAATAAAACTTAAAATAAAATCCATTCTATTTCGAATAAAACATAGGAACTAATAAAATATATGTTTGAACACGCTCAACCAATAATATACGGCTCCGTTAAAGCGTAACGCAATAATTCATAGAAATAATCGAAAAGTATCCGAAAACAGGATTCGAATCCCGAGATTCGAATACAGGATTTGGATATCGGGATTCGAATACAGGATTCGAATACCGGGATTCGAATACAATGTGGGAATTTGAATACTGGGATTCAAAAACGGTATTCAGAATCCAGAATACCGAGTACTGACCAAAAAAGTATTCAGTCGAATACCGAATACCAAATTCACAAATGTATTCGAATAGTATTCGAATACCAGCCAAATGTATTCTGAATAGGATTCAGAATACCGGGTATTCGAATACTACACAAGTCTGCTATACACCCTATGCACCCTATAACAAGTAAAAATTGTTTTGGAAATATTTCAAAAAATGTGCGCTCCCACCATACTTCATCTTTCAACTATTATTGATCATCCGGCAACATTGCAAAAGTCATTGATACTTCTGGTGCTTGTGATCTAGCCAGAAGCAAACGCTTGGGTTAGACTATTAACCTTTGATCAATGATTTACAAAAGTTTCAAGCAAACTTTGAAGCATAATATCTTCCAAAAATGTATTCTTTCATTTTGTTTTGTTTTTTTGCCTCCTATCATCCCCATCTCATTGATCGCTCCAATTTCGGAAACGTCCATTATATTAATCAATTTTTGGAATCTCCATGGAAAGCTGCATTCAAAGGCGTACCACAAATAGGGTTTGTATACAGTATGTCCGTCGAATTGAGTGCTCTCGTATGTCCAGTGTAAAATAGTGGAAGAATTCATTTTTATCCATACTATCAATTTCTGAGAAATCTCATGAATTAAGTAGGTCGATTTTCATTTTCTATTTGACACATTTATAAGAAAATATTAATTATACAGGGTGATCTGCGTTTGAGTTATGACATCTGCGACAGTTTTTCAAATATAACACCCTATATATTCTATTTTTGAAATCTCCATTGAAAGCTGAATTCAAAAATATATCACTCACAGGGTTTGTATGTAGGGCGTCCGATAATTTGGGTGCATTTAGAAAGTAGGGAATAAATCTGTTGAAAATTAAAGGAAGCATTTTTGGCACTCTCCCTAATAATTCAATTCATTCAGTATTTTACAAAGGCAGTCAATTCAAAGGACGCTTTGTATAAAAACCCAGTGGCCACGTTATACCATATGGATATTTGGTATGCTTACCAAGGTGATCTGACCAAACTCAGACCAAACACCTTAGTTATTTTTGAGTATTATTTTGAGCTTAGGTTGTGGAACGTCACTTCAATACGTATATAATTAAAAATTCCTTTTAGCAAGATTCAAAATTAGCTGATATTGGATGGAATATTGTTTTGCAGAATCATAAAACAACTGACACTTGCAATCGACTGGAGTCAAAAGTACTGTACAAAAGTAGACCAAAGTGTTTACACTGTCTTGGTCATCATACTATTTTTGTACCAAACCAGGCTGGCATTTTTACCAAGTAGACAGTTTATAACACACTGACGAAGAGTATGTAGTTCAAATATAGTCATTAGTCAGCTCGTTAGTCAGCTAACCAAGACATGGTATAAACTAGGCCATTGTGTGGTATATTTTTGAAATCAGCTTCCCATGATCAAGAAATTGAAGAAATTATCGCTGACGTCATAACTGAACCGTTGACCACCCTGGATATTCAGTTTTTTATTAAAAATGTGGGAAATTGATAGTAAAAATCGACCTGTTTCAGGAGATTCCTCAGATGTGGATTGTTTGGATAGAAAAGAACTTATTCAGAACTTTACGAAAGCACTGTTCAATACAATCAAAAACATACACATTGAAGAACTGTCTAATTTCTTGTCATTATCTAAAAAATTGCGGATATACAGTAATGATGTCAAGCTTCTGGACAGAAAAATGTTGAATTGATGAATTCACAGGCTGAACTTGAAACATTTTTTAGGGCCCCAGTATCAATCAAATCTCTGATAAAAATTTCAGCTTCTGAAATCATCAATTCACACATTATTTTGGCATAATTTCTAAATTTCAGATATTTTCTTCTGATGGCAAAATACATAGACCTGATGGCGCAGGTTTTTTTAATATCAACATATGCTCTTGGTGGGATTTCTTATACACATTTTGGAATATGTTTAAGGTGATAAATCTGCTATGTGCAACAATCCCATTGTAAAAATGTTAATGTTTGTCAACATTTTTTAGTTCAGTTTATAATTTGTCATTATGAAGACCTAATTCATTGATATACAATCAAACATGAACATGAAGAATTGTTGAATTAGTATTTCCCAAAAGCAGTAGCCTACTGAGCCAGGAACTAGTAAAAAGTCTAGTCTTCTTCGGATTGAGAAAAAATCAGCTTCTCAATTATCCCCTTATCGATTTCAAAGAACAGAAAAAAAGTTATTGTAGTAATGGACATAATTCGTTTCACAGTCCTGTATGTTCAAAGCATTGTCTCTCTCTTGTTTATGCAATTCATTTGTTGCTTCTGACCATCCTTCTTTTGTCGCTATAAAGATTGTATTCAATATTTCTATGTGGTAATTCAGTTTCCATCCAGCCTGTCATCTATCTGTCAACTCTTAGGACAATATGTTGCTGAAAGTGGTCATAACGCTGAATCAGCTCACTACGAGCCACCCCTCTGTAACTTTTGAGTGGTCCTTGGTTCAAGGAACAAATTTGAAATAAAAAGGGGTAAAATTTTCCATTTGTTGATGCTATCTTGTTTATTAACATCCACTTTTTCATAATGGTGATTTCCAGGTAGTGGAAAAATCTTTAATATCTGAGCTTTGATTCGTATTTAGGTGGCTGTAACTCCGCCGACATTGTGCATAATTACTAGTAGATTTGATTTTTGAAAGTTGGATCTGTAAAATGAATGTGCTACATGTGTGTAACACGATATGAATCCAAAAATAAATCTACAATATGAATCCAAAAAATAAATCTACGTGGTTTAGTTAAGTATCGGGAGTCGATTATAAATCTCCTGGAGTAGATGGAATATACCACATCCTGCTTCAAAAGGGACAGGAAATACTAATTCCACATCTTTGTCGTATATTCAAGACTTGTATAGCAATACGATATATACCCATCGTAATGCAGAAGGTGACAAGTCATCTACCTACCCAAAGTGGAAAAGGTGGGTGACAAAACGCCTAAATCATACCGCCAAATAAGTTTTATGTCGTTCCTGCTCAAGACACTGGAAAGACTGATAGTAAGATACATAAGAGACGAGTTATTACACAGGAACCCTCTCAACGAACGCCAATATGCGTATCAGCCAGGCAAGTCAACTGACTTGGCACTGGATGATCTGAACAGGCTACTCGCAAAGTCGATAGAGGACAGAGAAACAGCTATAACAACATTCGTAGACATAGAAGGTGATTTCAACAACGCATCAACAAATTCTATAATTAACGCCCTAGCAAGGAAAGGAGTACCACTTCTGTGCCAGTGGATAAATGTCAATTTGAAAAATAGGGTTATTATATCAACAATTGGCGAGACAACTCTGATAGCTAGAGCAGATAGGGGATGCCCACAGGGAGGAGTATTATCGCCCCTACTATGGGCCATTCTAATGGATGAACTGATCAAAAGGCTAACATCCAAAGGTAGATTCACAAGTACGGTCTCGGAGCTCACACAAACCGCTCTAAACATAATTGACAAATTGTGTAAAGAGGAGGAACTCACCGTGAACCCTCATAAAACCGCTATTTTGATTCTCATGTCTTCCTTTTATCTTGTTTTCAATAATTTTTTGGTGTTAGTAGAACGAATAATATTTTTAAGGTACAACTGGTCGAGGAAACGACATGCAAGTGGGTACATACATCGAAAAGATGTTCATGTCTGAATTGTCTGGAAACGTTATAGATTTGTGTCCTGTAGGAGCACTCACAAGTAAGCCTTACAGTTTTACTGCTAGACCATGGGAAATCAGAAAGGTAGACTCTATTGATGTGTTGGATGCTGTTGGATCAAATATAGTGGTTTCGACTAGAACTGGAGAGGTTATGAGAATCATGCCAAGGGTGAATGAAGAAATAAATGAAGAATGGTAAGTATAGAAATAGGGAGGCAAAAATGATTACTTCCAGTGTTTATGTTTTCAATTGTATTCTATTGCAAAAATGTAGGCATTTACCTTATTATCTTGTCATTGTGTTTTCCTGGATAATAGTATATTACATACACTACACTGTTTTACCACTAAACAAACCGATTTTTTAACGCCTCGACACGTGTTTCGCTAACTATGTTAGCATCTTCAGGAGAAGGTTAAAACTCAGCCAAAGGTTCCAGTCTTCGATATATAGTATATTACATAACAAAAGTTCTAAAACGCTTATTATGCTCGAAGTGGAGAGAGTTACACACGATGCCGCGTAGCACTCCGCAAGTGCGTAATTGCTCTACAACTCGAGAAATGCACTATACTTTTTATACGACTACACTGTACTTCCTTCAGGATAGTCCAGTCTATGAAAACCGTGCGATCGATGGGTTTATGCGCGCTCTGCCTAAGGAGTAACTTTTTGAAATTGTTTTCTGTACAATTTTCATTTATATAGTAGTCATAGGAAAAATAAATATTTTCATTGGGAAAAAAAAAATTCGAATGAAGAATATTCTGTATACAAGATGACATGTCATTGGAAATATGGAGGGTTAGTTTAGGTTCCATGTGAGTTGGACGAATACCTCCCCTCCACTGTGACCTCAGATGGGTCTACTGTGGCTCACCCCTAGAGGTTACAGTTCACTATACAATTTACATCGTTTTACAAAGTCCATGGTTGAATTAGGCGAGATTTGTCTGAAATCGATAGGTCCTAAGTTGGTATAGTCAACTATACAGGGTGTTTCATAATTGAATACTGATCCTAAAGGGTGATAATCCTTGAGTGATTTTAAGAAGAATTTGTCATGTGAACATAGGTCCGTAACAGCTTCGTTTCTGAGATACAGGATGTTGAAATTTAACAAAAAAATCAGTTATTCCTCAATATCTCTGAAACCATTCTGGCTTTTTTCTTCAATTTTGGTACATGCCAAGTATGAATAGAAATAAATTTTTTCCATATTAAAGGATTTCCTAATTTCCATCAGTGGCGTCCCTGTTTACATACCCTGTCATATTTTCCATCAAAATAATGATACGCCACTGTCTTTTTTCCAAATAAATATTATTTTTGTAATTATCCTCTATCATCTCATAAAAATGGTCTCTTGTCTTTTTTTCGTCCGGCGAATGGTTTTTGAGTTAGAAAATAAAATGCATTTATTTGCTTGTCCCTATTCGATTTTTACTCTTAGTCATAATTTCACAATTGTGGTAACCAAAAGATCTAAGCAATATTTTTATAATTTTATGGTACCTATTTTTAAGTTTTTGTAATGAAGAAAAAAGCCAGAGCGGTTTCAGAGATATTGGGGAATAACTGATTTCTTTGTTAAATTTCAACATCCTGTATCTCAGAAACGAAGCTGTTACGGACCTATGTTCACATGAAGAATTTTTCTTAAAATCATCCAAGGATTATCGCCTTTTATGATCAGCATTCAATTATGAAACACCCTGTATAAAACCTCAGTCTCTCTAAGCGAGAGCATGAACATAATATGTGTTCAGCCATTTCATCTTTCCCAGGTCGGAGATATGGTAATTAGTGTGATGAAAATCGAGATGAAAACACTTCATGGGTGATTCAAAATTCGATGTAAATATTCTTCATATAGACATGTGCTCTAAAATGTACCCCCTCTGAGCTACAGCCACCGTGAGTGAGATAAAAAAATCTAAAATTGTGACTAAAATAACGGATAAAATCTTTTGAAAATTGGCATGCCCCTGTCTTTTTCGTCATTTTATTCCCTTCTTGCGACAAAAATTAAGTAAACCTAGTTCTAGGGGAGTTGGTACCTCCACTTCTATTGCCCCGAATTTTAGCACACATATTAAGAAAATGTATTATTTTGATCCTAACAATACGGCCTCGAAATATTTACATCGAATTTTGAATCACCCTGTATAACATGCCTATTACTAACATCAAACAAACAGTAGGTGGCTCTGAAGGCTACATCTTCTTTCTCGACTATGGAATCTATATTATGCTCTGTTGATAATTATATTTTAGTACTGTGCACGTGTCTATTGTCAACTGGCCTAGGCATACCGAATTAGGCCCAGCAGAAATTCCTTGCATCATCTCATAATCTCTTGTGAGAGTTCTTAGTTTCTCAAAGTGGACTTGTGTAATAAATACTAAATGATACCCAAAATCATCTCCACTACATTTCAATGTCAGAACCACATCAATATCATACATTTGAAGTATATTTCAATGACAATATAACATAATACTGGACTGTGATTTGCTCTTTCTTTATTGAATTATTTTTTCTATATAGACTATAGCATACTTTGTGCCTAATGATTTTTATACTGCTTTGGTAATTGTAATGATTCGACATTTATTATGTGTTTATTTAGATAATTAGTTATTAGTTACACTGGCATCTAAGATAGCACCTGGGATGGATGGGTCTGAACCAACAAACTGACTGTCGGTTCTGCTGTGTGGAAGACGAAACGTCTGAACACATATTATGTTCATGCTCTTGCTTAGAGAGACTGAGGTTGGACATAATTGGCTTAACCAATTTATAACCTATCGATTTCAGACAAATCTTACCTAATTCAAGCATGGACTTTGTAAAAAGATGTGGATTGTACAGTGAATTGTAACCTCTATAGGTGAGCCACAATAGACCTATCTGGGGTCGCAGTGGAGGGGCGATATTTGCCTTCTAATGAACAAGTGACAAAATAATAAACATATTCACGTTGAAAATTATATATACATTACAGACTGGCAAAAACTTCGCCAAATTCCAGAAATCTGTCAAGTCTTTTCATGCAACAAACATTTTTTCAAATGGGAATGGTGGTCAAGGAATAACTCATTTAAGAGAGCTTTCAACTTCCTTTACATTTCTGGTTAGTATTTGAAAATCAATCTCATTTAGAATATGGAGCCTAGAAACAGAAATAATACGTTTCACGAATATTTCGAAAATCAATTTAGCTTTACTTGAAAGGTTCAACAATGTTGAAATATTTTTCCATCGGAGCGCACGAAAAGGAATCCCTTTAATGTTTGAAGTACATCGTGCCTACCTAGGGAGGATGGGGAGGTGTATGTATTGAATTTTTTTGAACCTCTGGGAATTCTGAGTTCTTGGCAATACTTTGTTTGGCAAATAATTCCAAAGCTATGCCGTTCCACAGACAAACGAGATTTGATTAAGTGTTGTTGGACATATTTCAAGGTTGACAGTAGAAAGGATGTACTGACTAGGCTTGACAAGTTCGTCTGGATGGTATTGCTAGTGATGGAATGATAGCAGAGAACTGAAGAACATTTCTCGTGAAAGTTTCTGTAGAAAAGTGGAAGGTCGTCAACTTTTCTACAGTGTTCCAATGATGGAATCTAAGAGCATTTTGCGTATGTTCTAGGTGGAAATAACAGTATTCTGAAACAGGTCATATCTGTGCTTTGTAGATCTTGAGAAACTGTTGAGGTGTGTAGTAGATCTTCGCATGAAATATAAATCCGAATTTATGTAAAGCAGCTTTCGCGATGGGTCTGACATAATTTTCCCAAGAAAGAGTATCACTAATGAGAGATATAGTGGACTCGCTGGGAATGGTAGTAGAAAAACATACGAAGACCGTCCCAGTCTCCTGAATTATAATGCCATACAAGACGCGGAGAATTGCCTAGTGGAGCTCGTATATCTTAAACCTCAAGTCCCAAGACAAGCTATCTAGCAGCTATCTGGCCTTTCTAAATGTGAATAAGCACAAACGCGATAATTGTTTATTCACCAAAACGATTCCAAAGAGTCTACAAAGCAGCAAAAACATTTTTTTAGTTAATTAGAATCAATTTTTGAATTCTTTGTCAAATGTATTGTCGGTTTTTGAAGCTCCATATTTTCAAAATGATCGATTTTGAAATACGAAGCAGCAAAACATAGGGAATTTGATACCCATTACAATGAGGGATGACTAGACCTCCCAGTCCCATTCCACTTTTGGGGTTGCAGATATTGCTGTTATTTTCGTCAAAAGTTGTGTCTGACGAATAAACGACGTGTTTTTGAACTCTGTCAAACATTTTTGGATTTTGTCAAAAGTTGAAAGTGTCAGTTTTCTCCTGTTACAAGCAAAACATTCTATGAACAATGTTTTGATTTCTACTTTGGGAATAGTTCATACTTAATATATAAAATCCTAATAACATAACATAAATCAGAGATATCACACACTCAAATTTTTGAGTGCCTATTAATTTCAATTATGAGCTTTGCATGTTTTGTCTTGTTTCAGGTTAGCAGATAAATCTAGATTTTCATATGATGGTTTGAAGAGACAAAGGCTAGTTACCCCAATGATAAGGGATAATAAAGGAGAGCTCAAACCAGTTGATTGGGAAGCCGCTCTTTTAACTGTTGCGAAAGTCGTCAAAAATGCAGGTAAAATTAGAATGTATGTTTTTTTTTCATGGAAATATTAGGAAATTATGACAATGCAGTGAAGGAAGTAAGCATGGTCATACCTCGGATCATACACAAAATAAGCAAATCGTTCCTAGATGGGCTACGGCTCATTAAGTATGAGGTCCTGGTGATGGTTTATTAATTTCAATTGGATAAGGTGGTGGATTTGATTTCTTGTACTAAACTTTGTATGCAAGAGTTTCTAAGTGGTATGCTCGTGCAGTGATACAAATGATTGTATATAGTGTTCAATCATCAGTGTGTACTCATTAGGTTGTCAAGAGAATTATCCATAAACATATATTTGGCCCTTCTTAGTAATATGAACATTATGGCTGTCACTATTTCTCAAATTCCCTATCAAAATGTATTTGTTTTAAGTTGATAATACATAGTATTCGTTGTCATGAATGTGCATCTCTTATAAGCAGGCTTTCCAATCTCCAATATTCTATTCAAATCATTGTCATCGGAATATCATCTGTCATTTATCATCACCAGTTGTCGTTTTTGAGGAGTGGATTAGTTTGATTATTTTCAAAATCATTTCTAATTATAACCACAGATGAAAATGTTCTCTTGATACCAATTCATTTTTCAGAATTGCTGTCCTTGTTATAGGCTTTGGCAGGTCCACTCATATCACTCATATCAATGATTAAAATTCTGTTAATGTTTCGTTTGTCTGTTGCTGAATACAAAATGATGAATTATTTGGACTTTGCATGGGATTGAAATGAATTTGGGGAAAAAATTATATGTCACAAGGCCGTTTCATAGCCAAGGCTAGGAAACAAGCCAAGGCATTACATCTTGAACTTTACTGTCTAGTAAAACAAATAGCTATACTTATGTTACATGTGCCTTAGATTATTGTGAATATTGATTGTCCCCAGGTAGCAAAATTGGAGCAGTTGCGGGAGGTTTTGCCGATGCCGAACAGCTCATAGCTGTCAAAGATCTACTCAATACCTTAGGCTCAGAAGCTCTATGCACCGAACACACCTTTCCGTTAGATGGGTCCGGTACCGATCTTAGGTCAAGTTATTTGTTGAATAACAGAATCGCCGGAGCAGAGGAGGCCGATGTTGTACTTTTAGTCGGTACCAATCCGAGGTTTGAGGCCCCACTTTTGAATGCCAGGCTAAGAAAGGGATGGGTTCACAATGAACTTGAAGTAAGTCAAAGGAAAACAATTCTACACGGAAAAAAATCTGATACTTATTATCCGAAATTCATAATATAGTCCTTATAGGAATGGCGGATACTCGGTAGGACAGCAAAACGCATTTTGAACATACAATTCGAGGGCCTACTCCAAATAACTGGCAAATAACCTGTACAAGATGAGATTCTTCAGCGTATATACAGGGTTTTATTTAATTGAGTGCTGAAAACCTTTCAACTTTCGAACTATAGGGTGTTGAATTTTGTTTTCTCTTAATTGATTGAAGAAACTTTCACAATGTAAAAAACTGTAACGTTTATGAATACTTATCAAAATAAGGCCGCAACGTAATCGATCAAATTTCATTATATTAAATACAAAATAGGGATGGAGCCTACTAGTTCCAAATAATTTCATTATGCCACAAATGCATGAAAATGGATTTTTTTTACGCGAAAACGGTTTGTCGGACGGACCAAATTCAAGAGGTAAAATTGTTGCAAAATAAATGAGGATTTCAAAAATGATTAGCATTCTGGGAAAAGTCATAGGTGTAAAATATTCAAAAGAAAATCTTCAGAATACATTCCATATGGCCACTGTAAAAATATGTAAAAATCTCCTGCATCAAAAAATGCCTATTAGTGCTTAGTAGGTACATGTCGAATTTCATGGAAATATTTAGAACAGTATTGAAGTTATGATAAGATAAGATAAGAAAACGAATTTTTCTTAAAATTTCAAAGCCCTATACTTTTCTTCTTTGAATGACCCAAAAAATCATATCCATTATTTTCAATTTTTCAGCCATCAATTGAATTACACCCTGTATAGGCACAGTTCGTCGTCCTACAGAATCAGATTACCTGTGATTTAAAACTTTTCTTTAGAATTGGCTTGGATCAACTATTCCAATGAAAAATATTATTCATTTAGATAATTTAAATTGCCACGATTTAATATCAACACAAGGATCTATTATTTGAGAAGGAAGTCGATTCCTTCCGGTTGAAACTAAACCTAAGTTTTTCAATTCCAAATAGAAACCTGTTTTTTAGACTCCTTGGAAACCTTTCAAATTCATCTCCACAATGATAACACTCCAGATGAAAGATAAACCGTTAATTCACAGATCAACAAAAAAACTTGCACTTCATTCAATAGTTCAAAACCTGCATTCATTAAGGTTGTATTTGAAATCAAAATGAATGATAAACAAACTCTCATAGCTCTGAAATAATTTTGATTTGAAATTTCCTTTCCTATATCAACTTGATTGTAAAGTTTTTATGAATAAAAATGAAAAACTGAAGAAAATGAACAATAATCTTCTTGAAATAACTTAATTTTCCTCAATTAAAATTACCTTGTGTTTATATCAATCAAGAATATTTACATTCTTCAACTTCTGCCATGAATAGAATATTCAATTGGAACATATACCTCACCTGCAACACCCGTTATACTGCCTGAATCTTTTCAACTGCAACTAGAGGGAATAATATCTGCATGATTTCATTATGAGGAATATCAACATACAGTTCTCAACACACTAAATGGACCACTCATAATTTGACTCTAATTCGAAGACCTGTATTTTTTGAAAACATTGACCAATCTTCATGCGGTTTTCGATATCAGATGTGACGTTTCATCGACTTCAAAGAGAGCTAGGCAGAATAAAACTTACACAGGGTGTAAAGTGGAACCATTACACTGGTCTGAATTTCCAATGCTGCCAGAACTGTCTCATACTTGGGCAAAAAATTTGGAAATAAGTTGATAAGAATCATCGATATCAGGAAACAAGTTTGAATTGAGAATGTTCAACCTGTATTTTAATTAGAGGTGAATTTTCGAAAACGTCTCGAGTTGATAATCTAATAAAAATAATGGATATCGAGAAGGCCATTTCTGAATATACTGAGTTGAATGGGCCATGGTTTCAGTCACCGTTTTTGATTTTTTTATTGAAATGAGATTTCGTCCTATTTTCTTATCATCCTGTATATTCTACAATTGTGCTTTTTTCGTCATTCATTGTCCTCCACAAAATATGAGAACAGTTCTTCCCAATATTCAGCTCAAGTGGAGTTCTAGAGAAAAATTCAAGGAATGCAAGACTTTTGAAAAAAAAATCTAATTTTTGTTCCAATGGCCAATTAAAGAGAAATCACGAAAACGTCCCGAGATGAGGTCGCAGTGTATCACAAAATGACTGACTTTTGATCAGAAAAAAATTCTCGTTCTGGCAGCATTGGAAATGTAGACCATAGTGTAATGGTTCCATTTTACACCCTGTGTAAGTTTTGTTCTGCAGACTTTTTCAGATTGTTCCAGCTCTCTTTGAAGCCGATGAAACATCACATCTGATATCGAAAACCGCATGAAGATCGTTCAATTTTTTAAAAAAATACAGGTCTTTGAAATAGAGTCAAATTATGAGTGGTCCATTTAGTGTGTTGAGAACTGTAGTTAGCTGACCATATTATCAAAACTGCCACTATGGAACACCCAATCGCCCCGACGATCCAGACATTACATGTCACCTGACGATCCACTCCCCTCAATATTCTAACTGCAAATGAATAAGAAATATGAAAATGCAAATACATTGGCCATGAAGGTTTCGCTTTGTGTGTCATCGTAAGGGATTCTTTAAAAAAAATCCAACAAGTATTCTAAAACAGGATACCAGTGTGCTATTACAATTCACCAAGAGGATTCAGTTCAAACATATTTCCAGAAGGACATGGGAATCTATTTTTATATGACGAATTCTAGTTCGATTTGGTTTATTATTGGCATGATGTGAGTTTTCAATTTCAGTGAAACATTCTACATGGTGTATTCAAATAACACCGAAAAGGGGTGTTTCCTTGTGACATTATAGCAAATAAAGTTCATATAAACATGTGTCCTAACTTGCTCCTTTTTTGAGATACAGGATGTTGAAAATTGGAAGTATCAATTGTTTTCATTTATAATCCCCCTGTATGAGCTCTCATGATGCCAAAATTCAGTATGGATGGAGATTGAGAAAGCCCCAAAATTTTAGAATGATTCTAATTGGGGTTATTGAATAATCTCAATGGAAGTCTTGAAAATTTGAAGTCAAATCGAAATTTTATTGTTTCCTCAAAAATTGAGCTAGATACAGACAGTATTTGATAAAAAAGTTGTTATTTCAATAGTTCAATCTAATAAAAATATGAAACTCAGAAAAACCGGTGGTGTACAATGACATTCACCATGAATATCCATAAATTTACCCACTGTGACACAAGGAATCACCCCTTGAATTTTTTCAGTGTTATTTAGACACACCCTGTATAATGGATATCTGGCAAAATAGAAGGAGATAATCCTTACTGAATTTTAAGACGAAAATGTAGAATACTTGATACTGTCTGTAGAATTCGAATGTCTCTTAGTTTTCAAGATACAAGGTGTTCAAATTTTGTTTTTGAATCGGTTTTTCATTTTTATTTCATACATGACTCACCCAATTTCGTTTAAATTTGATTATTTTTGTATGGCTCTTATTGAGCCATTGAAAGAAAAAAATCATCAAGTCCAGTGGTGTGCAAAGGGGCACCTGAACCAATATTATTGACAAAAAATATAGGCCACTGACTGTTTTTATGATGTCAATATTTGTTTCGGATTGAGCAACTAATGTAAAAACTTTAAACCCTACCATTATTTACTCCTTTTCAAGGTGTAAAGTGTGTTTTTACTATCAGTGTAGTTTTCGTCATTTTATGAACCACTAGTGAATGAAAGCATAGACACCTCAGTTGTAATTAACCGGAATGCACTGTTCATATCCGAGATTCGCAGGAATTGCACTCGAATCAAGTAGGTATTTATCATTAAGGACTTGTCATCTGCTGTCATGGTCATGATGGTTACTAGATTTTAATAAGTATTGAGAAGAAGTGCTGTCATATTGACAATTGGTCCATATTTCAATTTCATAGAACTAAAATGATTGAAAAATATTGCTATAGTGGTGAAAAAAATGTAATATACAGCACGGGACCTTATACCCCTCGGCTGAAACTTCGGGATATTATCTTGTTCCCTGTGGGTAATACTGATATTCTTTACTGCCTTGGTGTATAAATAACTATTTCATCTCTTAAGGTGTGGCCATATCTCGATTGGTTTTCGAGATAAAAAATAAAAACTACTTTCTTGCATGTCCGTTGGCCACACAGAACATAAAAAATGAAATTTTTCTAAACCCTTACAACAATGACCATATTTTAAGTCGAAAATATGGTATATTTGCATATTTGGAATGGAAATTAAAAATTGAGTGAGAGATTATTATTCAGAAATGAATCTCTATGCAAGGTGTTTCACAGTGGATGGAAAACAGAATGACAGATCGTCTTGAGATATATTCACCAATACACTGCCGCTTATATCAGAAAGTAGTAGGTACTTTTTAATTTCAAATGAAACACTTCCTATATCATAATATTTTTTGAATTCTTCCCCTGATAATTATCTGTACCCATATGTGACAGTTTTTGTAATAAAAATTATTTTGTTAAATTTTTGTGCAAAACCTGACCATTGAAGAACAGATCGTCTTGAGATATTTTATTTTTTGAATTCTTCTCCTGATGATTCTCTGTACCCATATGTGACAGTTTTTGTGCAAAACCTGACCATTGAAGGAGAATTCATAACATAACTGATCAAAATTAAAAAACTGTACGAGATAGATATGGAAAAATTATGCAAAGTCGAAAACTGGAAAATGTTACAGCTTTCCGAATGAGTGATAATATACCACCTAAAAAAAAACTGAGCATCAGTCATTTTCATGAGTCCCCGGAAAGACGTTACTTCTGAGCTTTCTTCTATTTGATGCATTTGATCTGAAAATAATTATTGAAATGAGTTATATTATCGGTCCGATTCAAGAGCGTGTTTTTTTTTAACAACTCGAATGATTAATATGAAGGTCAGTGGTTATTTGAACCACTTACAGATTTTTTGTTTCTCTAAGGCCAAGATGGATAATAAACCAGCCTTTTCTGTTGATTTGTGGAGTGGCTAAGGTTTTTAATAAAAAAAGTGGCACTATTTCAGAGAAATGTTCATCTGTTAATGCTAGATGTTGCAAAAGAGGCGATTCTACGGCAAGAAAGTGGAATATCTACCTAATTATTTGTGAAAACAAAAAATTTCCTATTTCACTAGAAGGATAGCATCAAACGATATAAGTTTGAGGGATTCAACAAGTCCATCCTTGAATTCGGGAATTCTATCACATGTCTATCACCTAATATTTTTCTCCCTTCTTCTATGTTTTGCCTGTTGTTGTCTTTAAGAACAACTTATTGATATTTTCTTTCGGTTTTCGGAATGTTGATGGAGAAACTTCAATTATTTTGAATGATGCAGGATGTTCCTATAAAGAGAGGAAATAAGGAATTCATGGGAATATATTTTCTCATATGATGGAAAATAAAAAAAAGTTAGGGGACACCCGGGTTTGAACCGGGGACCTCTCGATCTGCAGTCGAATGCTCTACCACTGAGCTATATCCCCTTGTGAATATTTATGCCTACTTATATTGTTGTAAACAACGAATTAGGTATGTCTGAGATTATAAATAAACTAATCACCAGATGAAGTGGGACAGCCAAAAAATTGACAATTTCGACAAGCTATAACTTGGACATTTCTTGGCCGTTGTTGGATTTTCAACCAAAGGTAGAAAGCGCCATCCTTGGTCTATGCGTTATTGGCGTCGGGTTTCTTTTTTTTTGCAAATTGTGTGAATTTTGAAGCGCAAACATTTCAAATTTTTTACCAATAATTTCGGAAATTTGAGGGACCCACAAATTTTTTTTAGATGTTTGGTGAATTGTTGGCCGATACTTCCAGACGTCTTTGAAATTTTTTTGATAAATTGCGATGCTATGGAAAAACTCCGTTCTAAGTTTGAAACGTGGCCTTATTATTCAAACAATAACAGCCACCAGCTAAACTGCAACACGGGGTATTTATACTCAAGATAATTAACACCAGTGGCGGGCAAAAAGGTTTATATGACATTTAGAAACGAGAATTTGTTTTTAATGAAAAAATGCAAGGGTTTTATACCTTTAATTATTAGCATGATGTTGACAAATTCACTCGCAAATTCAGAGGCATGCAAAAAAGGTTTATGATATTTAGAAACAAAAATTTCGTTTTCATTGAAGAAATTCTACAGTTTTATTGATCGTTAGCGTTAAAAAGGTGCAATACCTGGGTGATGCCACACTCATTAATTATTCGACATCATTGGAACACCGTTGAAAAGTCGGCGACCTTTCACTTTCCAAAAGATACTTCCACGAGAAGAGTTTTTCTGAAATCTCGACTGCTATCATTTCATCACTAGCAATACCAGTCAGATGAACTCGACAAGCCCAGTCAGCACATCCATTCGTTGTTCACCTCGAAATATGTCGAACGGCACTTTATCGAAAGACATGTTATAATAAATGTATGTATAATGAATGAATAATGTTATAATATAGTACCTTGGATTTAAATCAGTTGTGCAGTTTCTACTTTGTTCTAGTGGATTCGCATATCCGCTATGGTATAATATGTTTTTGGGGGTCATCTACATCAGCGCAGGATATTTTTCTGGCTCAAAATCAGGTTGTAAGAAGTACAATGGGCATTCCTGCAAGCCATTGTTCGTTGAAGATATTAACGCTACCCTACCTCCTTATATTTTAATTATGTATCTAAATATTTTTTTGTTAACTATCAAGTGGTTGCTCGCAACAGTGATATACATGATGTGTATACTCGCTCAATGAACGATTTCTATATTCAACTAAGCAGAACTAATATTTTGAGTGATACACCAAATATCCTAGAATATTCAATAACTCACCTGAATATTTGAAAAATGTACTAAATGTATCTTCTGTCAAAAAATGCTCGAAATCATTTCTCATAGAAAAGTGTTTCTACTGGCTTAACGAATATTTTCATAATTGACCATCCAACAAACTAATAAAAATTGTATAAATAATGTTCCTCTCTTTTCTATAATGTGCGTCTATTATATTATTTAATCTGTCTTCAATCTAGTTTATAGATTCATATTTTTGTAACAACCTGACTATTCCTTTACTTTTTTAGAGAGTCTTGACGAAAAATAAAGATTATTTAAAATATGATCGTGGCATTGTTGAATCATTCATGATTGTTACGATCATCTATGAGAACCCTGTACAATTTTATAACTGGACTTTGATGTTTGTCATGTAAACAATTTGCCAGGCCAACTGGAATATTATGTATTGTTCCAAATTCAGGAAACTTTATTTTGTTCTAGGTAGCATCTATAGGTCCCAAAGTCGATCTTACTTATGACCATGATCACCTAGGAGATGATCCTCAAGTACTCCAACAACTCATCAATGGCCAACATGAGTTCAGCAAAAAATTGCGTTCTGCTAAGAAACCATTGATCATTGTCGGCTCAGAAACCCTAGAGAGGTCAGATGGTGCTGCTATATTATCTGCTGTACAGACATTGGCAGCTAGTACCTCAGTTGAAAATAAAGATTGGAAAGTTTTGAATGTCCTCCATAAGATTGCTAGTCAGGTAATCGGTACGACCCGAACTCTATGAAAGCATTGATGATCTCAATAATTTTGTTATTAGGTTGCTGCTCTGGATATAGGATATACTCCTGGTGTTGATAAGATTAGAGAAGGAAATTTGAAGGTTTTATTCCTACTTGGCGCTGACGATGGTGCTATTGAAAAATCCGATTTACCTCCAGATTGTTTTGTGATTTATCAAGGTGAGCATGTCTATTCATTTTTGCAAATACTTGTCAAACAAGGGAACCTATTCATACAAGCATATTGGAGATATCGCATATTATGAATAAAATTTGAGACTCTTAAGTGGTAGGGTTGGTACGTTTGATCAACATCAGCAAATTAATCTCAGATGCATCAGTACCGTTTTCATGCAATAAAAATATCATCCAATGACTATTAAAAGTGTAACTAGAAACTCAATTCTGTTGTTCACTTCAGTGGCTAATATCTTCGAAAGGGACGACAGTCTAACGACAAAATCGAATGTGAGCACACAGTTGATTTTCACCAGTACTACTCAATTCCTAACATTTTACGGCATGTGACCACTCACAGAATCCAATTATCGTCATTCACAAATGTAAAGCTTTGGTCTATCATTCTCAGATGTAAAAAAAATAGATGACCATATTTTATTTTGATGATAATCGCCAATCAAAATATTGATTACTAGCTGTCCGGCTTGGCTTCACATGGTTGGTGTACCCATTTAAAAAAAAATACATTTGTTGCAGTCGTTCTGAGCTATGAGCATATCAACAATAATTTTTTTTGTGCGAACATATAGCTACTATTATACAGGGTGTCCCCAAATTATAAGAAAGATTTCAACCTTACATTATTGGAACAAAAATAGTGAAAAAAGTTCATATAAAACATGAGCCCAGAAATTCCCACTGGGAAGTTATAGTGGGCCCGATATGATGATTTTTTTATTATATTTCCGAAATCCTTTGTGTTGATAACGAAATTTTGTGCATGTTTATTACTTTTCATGCGCGAAATTTTGATCAGAGGCTTTTTTTATGCAATTTTCGGCGGTTTGACCAGGAAATATGAAAATATTATCATTTTTACCCAAACACGCTCCTCGTGAAAATTTCGGAAAATTCTTAAAATTCCCAAATCCGGCATGAAAAGTAATATACATGTATAAAATTTCCTTATCTCAACACAGAGGGCTTCCGAAATATTTACAAAAAATCATCATCTCGGGCCCACTTTCAGATGGTTATTACTCCATAGGGGGGCATGTTTGGGCCCATATTTTTATGATTTTTTTTACTATTTCGGTTCCTAGAAACTGTGGTTGAAATATTTCAATGGTATTTCTGGACGCTCTGTATACTCACACTTATTTTCATCCTCTCCGTATCTATTGTTTTTTTTTTGTTTTACATTTCAAAACTTCCAACTCAATCGGTGAAACCGTTTAGTAGTTGACGTACCGACAGCAGCGCTACCCACCGCGTCCAATTGTATTTTTAAATCATCCAGGAAACCATCGAAATACCCATATGGGTTGACATTTCAACCCAATCGGTTCAGCCGGTTAGAAGTTATGTGAAAAAGATAAGTACGTAAGGATAATTATTACTATCCGTTGTTCTATTACCCGTTTCTCGTAGAAATGAAGCATTTTCCCGCGGTTAAGATAAGCCTCTGTTAATCAGGGATGATGTCGGCTTCTAATGGTAAAAGAATTTTTCAAATCGGTCCAGTATTTCGGAACTTATTCAATACAAACAATCTAATATTTCCTCCTTACAATATTAGTATAGATCATATTCTGACACATCAAAGACAGTAAAACCATCTATGTGAGATTTCCAATGTGAAAGCGTTTTTCGCGCCAATATTTTCATAGCTGCAGTTGACCTTCTTGCTGACAGGTGAGGATTTTGAATTATGGTGCCCAATGACACCGTTCCAGTAAAAAATTTATACCATTATTTTCATGTACTTTTGATGTACTAACCTTAACGAGTTCACTGTAGCAAATTGTTTCCTCCTCAGAGCTCTACATTTTTCAAATAATCATTGAAAATCACAATATTTCATAACTGGACTAGTATGTGTGCCGTCACGATAATGCCCTGATATCATCCTATCTCCAGGGCTTTCATACTTATTTACGTGACAAGTGGAATATAGACATCATTAACGCACGCATTCGAGGATTGCACGACGAAGCCTCCTTAGGCTGAGTCGCGTAATCACATGAGTGCGTTAATAGTAGTAGTAGTAGTAGTTGTAGTATCGCACGCATTGCTTACAAAATTGTATCTACAACTGTCAACGTTTTCATAACTATAATGTACCTCTTTGATATTCCACTTCGACGTACCTACTCATGACAGCTTTCTTATAATTGAAAACACAAGTTGCCTCTTTGATCATTTTTGTAACCGTAGCGACGGTAGGTATAAACAATGCAGTTTATAGATGTTGAATTAAATTGTCAGATGGATATCCAGAACCATCATTAAGTTTCTTGAGTGAAAATGTCTTCAAGTGAAGATGATCTACCACCCGATATTGAGAATGCTACGACAAGAGTTATTCGACTTTTCTCTGTATTCATTCAATAGGCTATTCACTTTGGTTGAAATTTATTTCTCATCTCATTACGGCACTAGGTCAATCGAATCATAATCATTACTTGACAGTTGTAGATAAAATATTTTTACTTTCTCACGAACTCTTCACTATTTTTCATATGGATTTTTCATTCATGAATATTATTTGATGCAATCATTCGTTATTTAAGATCATGATACATTTTTTTTTTCAAATGAAAAACTACACGCTTTAAAAACGTAAGCTCTTGATGACGTGATACACCGATAGCTAGAATATAATTCGCTTCACCTTTGGGATGATGAAATAATTGGAAGAACTTTCAACCTTACTAGACACTTTGTGTGGTGTACAGAGTGAGGCTACTTTCACATGCATCCGTTTTCACGGATATACGTTTGCGTGATATACGTACACAAGTTTGGGTCCCTTCCGAATGGAATGGTTCCGTGAGCTCCGTTGTTATCCCTGTTTTGCGCAAATATCTCTAAGAAATAAAACAAAATGGGAGCAGAAAATAATGAAGAGGGAAGTCAGAAATTTGTATGCATTCTATTTATTATGGAGAGATACAGAATGTCAGAAGAACAATCGTAGATTTTGGACCTATTTTAACAGACACTTTTCGAAGATTTCATGACGCAAGTGAATATTTGGCTAGAGGAATGGAAAAAAGCGGCAATGAAAATTTTTCAATTATTTCAAAATGTCGCCTAATATGTTTTATCTATTGCTCGGACTCTTGGAGACTGAATTTGGTAAACAACCAAGAACCAGATTAGAAGTTACCCTTCGTTATTTGGCATCTGGTGATAGTGTGACTTCTATTTCATATCTTTTTCGTGTTGGGATTTCTACATTCCTGAAACATGTCTTCTAAGGCATTTAGAACACATCCATAGAAAAACTACAAACACATCCCACAAAGTTTATGAGTTGTCAACGGTTTAGAAAAAAATCGTAAAAATTGAAATATTTACAACCCATTAGTGCATGAAGTTACTTTTTTTCATATCTCTATATTCTGAAGATGTTTACTCATTCAAATATACCCAAAGAATGATAACTCATGACGAATAACTTTTTTTCACAACAGATTTTTTTTATATGACACGTCCATTTTAATGGACTCTATGCAAATTGGTTCATTGATGAAAGTAATCAGTAGGGAATTTCAGTATTCATTTTTATTCAAGTACATATCCAGAACATGAAAAACTCAATAACATCAATCACTATATTATCAATAATGATAATAATGATAATAATAATGAAAATTATACATCATGATGACTTGATACATTTTGAAGCATCTCTCAGATGCAGTCCTATTTTACATATAAAATTGCAATTTTGTCTCTACTGAATGGAATTCAGCTGATGGGTATATGGAAATGCATCATATCAAGAAAATATTTTGGATGATACTTCCAGAGCTTTTTTCGGTGCTCCTCACACGATCCAGTGGAAGGAAATGTGAACCCGCTGAAGAAAAAGAGGCGAACGAGTGGATGGAGTCGTGTCTATAGTTGACGTGCTGCAGTATAACGTACAATCATTTGATACTATGATATTCCTTTTCATAATGCAAAGATGTATATTATTTTCAATTTCATCAAAATCAGGATCAGAATAACGAAAGTCACACGGCTGTTTGATAATTCCTTTAGAAATATGATTTATCATGGATTCGCAGTTTCTAAATTCGAATAACTGCATTTCTGCTAACTTTTCTTCTGGAGGCAATATAATATATGATCATCTGTTGGTTGATCGATATCTGAGCCATTTTCCATATGTCTAAGAGGTCTTGCAAGAATGATCTACAAAAAAATCTTGATGACCGATATGCATAGAGTCCGTTATAATGGACACAACACAAAAGCAATATTTTGAGTGTCTTACAAAAAAAATAATTATTCGAATTACCTTATAGGTTCATAAACACATGCATATAATGAGATCTTGAGGGATAGGAAATTCTGAAACTTATTATACTCCGTTATAATAAATACTTACCCTCCTGGTCGGGTGCAATACAAATTGTTATCCATTTGATCACGTGCAGAATATTGTCGAGATACAAATTCATGAAATAGAAGCGATAGCTGTTTGTTGTTGAACTACACTTATAGTTCTGGCGCATGAAACATTCAATTCCTGCATGATTGACGTCACAAAAAATTAGACAAGGAGCGTCCATTATAAAACACATTATGCACTAATGGGTTTTAACCTAGCTTTCTTCTCGTCACGGACAAATTAAACGGAGGAAACTTGATGTTGAGCCAACTGTGTACGTTGCGATTGCCGACTCATCCGTGTCGATCTCTATTGGTCAGTATTCACCACATGATCCAACGGTTCCGTGAAAACGGATGCATATGAAAGTGCCTGAGTCAAGAGAAACGCTCCAATCTCTTGGAGTGTCTTCTATACATTAAATTTGTTTACGAATGAGTACTTGGTATGGTTTACCGCCAGCAATGGAAAGACTAATCGAGCTCACCTGGAATCTGTCTGACGACCGGCATCAACAAATCCTCCAGCAAGGGCTCTGTCCAAAGGGCTGCTTCACCACCAGTACTAAGGGGGGTTGAGTGGACTGTATTTTGGG